CACACACACACACACACACACACACACACACACACACACAGCCTGGTGTGGTGGTACACGCCTTTAATCCCAGTACTCAGAACAGCAGGCAGATCTTGGCGAGTTTGAGGGCAGCCTGGTCTATGTAGTGAGTTTCAAGCCAGCCAAATATAGGCTCAGTGGTAGAGTGATGCCTTAATATGTGTGAGCCTACCCCAGCCAAAAAAGGGGGGGGGTGCTTACACAAGTGCACATTGCTGTAGTTAGAGCAGGATGGGGAAGACTCCACATTCTATCAGCCCCTTTGTTCTTGTGCACCTGGAACAGATCTAAGACGGGAAAAATGTGTTTTAAAAACAGATAGTCAAAAAAAAAAAACAAAAAAAAACAGATAGTCCAGGGCTGGAGAGATGGCTCAGCTGTTAAGAGCACTGACTGATCTTCCAGAGGACCCAGATTCAACTCCCAACACCCACATGGCAGCTCACAACTGTCTGTAACTCTAGTTTTAGGGGAAACTTACCATGGCAAAACACTAATGCACATAAAATAAAATAAAAAAATACACAGATAGTCCAACAGGTGTGGTGGCTTACACTGTTTTTTTGTTTTTTGAGACAGGGTTTCTCTGTGTAGCTTTGGCACCTTTCCTGGAACTCACTCTATAGCCCAGGCTGGCCTCGAACTCACAGAGATCCATCTACCTCTGCCTCCCAAGTGCTGGGATTAAAGGTGTGCGCCACCACCACCAGGCCACTGTTTGTTTTTGAGACAGGTCTCATGTTACCTTGGCTAGCCTGGAGCTTGCTATGTAGACCAGGCTGCCCTTGAACTCACCAAATTCTGGCACCAAAATCAAGGCATTTAGGAGGCTGAGACATGAAGATTTGCTGTCAGTTCTAAGTCAGTTTAGGGTACCTAGTGAGTTCTAGGCTCGTTTAACCTACTCCTGATTTACAAAGAGGCATCAGGCTACTGAACTGCTGGTGCCTAAGATCAGAGAAGTGGGTGTGCTTTTCGGGACACACCCCCTCTCTGGATAGCAGGGCTGCCAGGGTTCTGGGGCAGCCCCCAAACGCCTGATCCTGGCCAGGTGGCGGCTGGAGCCATGCTGACTCGCCTGTGGTGTCCTACCTCATCCTTTACTAGTGGAGGACAGATGTTGGTCAAATCCTCCTTCCACTACACATATTGGAAATGGAGGTGTAGCGAGGAAAACCACTCCCAGGCCTTTTCCTTCCAGGTCTGGAAAGCACTGCTTGAGTGAGGGAAGAGGGATGCTGTACAAGTGTGTGTGTATGCCTTTGGTGTTGGGAGGCTGCCAGAGGAGAAGAGAGGGAGAGGGAGCCAGAGGCTGGGAGCAAGCCTGTAAATTATCACCCAGTGTCTGCTCCTTTAATTCTAAGTGTTTTGAGTGAGAATATCCCAACTTCAGGAGAGGGCGCCAGCAGCCACAGCACCTAGCCCTAGTACCCATGGGTGGGACACGCTTAAGAATATCTGCTGAACCATTTGGGTTCAGAAGGGCATGCTTGTGACCTTGTTGCTTGGTGAGGCTGTCTTAACCAACTCCAGAGCTTCCCCTGAAGCCCACAGTCCTCTCCAGGAGTAACATGTCATCTCTTCTTTTGTTTATATGGGAAAAACACCAACAGAAGCCTTGACTAGCTGTACAAGAGAAGCAACAGACGGGACATCTTTGCCTCGTCGGTCACTGTCAGCCTGACGGGAAGAGCCAGCTCTGGCTTTCTCTAGCAGACCTTTGACCCTATAAGGGTTCAGCCACAGTGCGGTGGCCGCTGAACCCTCTGTTCCAGTAGGTCTGGGAAAGAGTCATTTTGAACACCAGCCACAGTCCAGGCTACTTGTGTAGGCTCTCAGCAGCTCTGGGATCAGTGCCCAGCTCAGCCCAGGGCTGAAGCTATCAGAGCTCAAGCCTCACTGTCGCAGGGGCTGGGCACATTTCTCCAGTCTTTCAAAAGGAATCTGGGCGGCTCGTCCTCCTCTCCTACCCTCTGCTCTCCTCTCGTCTCTGAGCCACTTGGTGGGGCCATGGTCTATACACAGGCTATGACACATAACATGGCTAAAGAGAAGCCCCCAACTCAACACAACACACACACACACACACACACACACACACACACACACACACACACACAACCTAACTGTCAAATACCCCAGAGAGACTTGCATCTGAATACCTTGGTGTACAGACATCGTGGGAGGCAGAGACAGACAGACAGATAGACAGGGGCTGCTCCTCTGGGACTTGGCTAGTGTAGTTTTCAGACAAAGCATATGTTACTGCCTCCTCCCCTGGCATTCCGGGAACAGCTTCCAGGCAGCGATCCCCAGCCTGGGGGGGGCGGGGATCATGGGAGGTGGCTGCAGATGCTAAAGAGGGCTATTTTCTGGGCCCTTCTGTCCTTGGGGTTCGTGATGACAGTCTCCCCCCGCAGACTTGGCAAACACAACACGGGAGGGGTGACAGAGCTGCAAAAGCATATCCACTTTATTTACATCGATCAGTAGATGACATAGATCTTTGGGTTTTGATGGCCTTGTGGAGATACCCGGACAGGGTCTCCCTTCCCCTCTGTGTTCACACCTCTCCCGCCCTCATCCTGCATGGAAGGACAGCTGTGGTCAGGACCTGCTTGGCCTGAAAGCCTTGGCTTCTTTGGGGCATGTGTCCTTACCTCCTTCAGAGGTTCCATCTTGGTCCAGGAGGCAGGGTACCTAGGTAGACCAGTTATCTGTCTGCAAGAGAGGGGATGAGTGAAGCCCTGGAGGAAAGCCAAGGCAGAGGCTTGGATAGCTGCCTAGTGTAGGGCTGGTAGACTGTCCCACTCTGTCCTTTGCACGTAGACAGGACCATCCCAGTCCCTTTCACAGGCAGAGCAGTGAAGTGTCAGGAGCCTTCCAAAGGGTAAAGAGTATGACCAAGAATTTCTCCCTGTGTGTATGGTCCCAGGTGGGAGTCCTCGGTGGGGCTCTCCTCAATTCTCCCCACCCACTCCATTCTCTTCCTTATCTGAAATCTCCCCAGGGTGTTCTTATCACAGGGAACAAGAGACTAAGGGCAGGACCATTACTCCTACCCTAGATGGGGTCCTGGGTTCAAAACCCAACCTCCAGGGTTCCCGCAAACATTTCCCCTTCTCCTGAGAAGCTGTTTTGGAAGAGAGCAAGTTGGTCTGTGGGGAGACTTGGCATAAAGCGTGGGGGCAATTCCACAGTGGAGGACCAGGGAAACTCCCAGTGTGGGGAGATGTGGACTCCTCTCCACCCCAATAATCAAGGGCATATCCGGCTTCACCCTGAGCTAGGATGAGGAGCAAGGCCAGGGACCAGGGGGGCGGAAGCGGGCAGGGCCGGGTTAGAGTCCTGGTCAGTCTGCTGGGCCGGGTCTAGGGCCCGAGTCCTAGCCCTGCGCTCTCAGCGAGCCTGGGCCGCACGCTCCCTGGAGCATGCCTTCCAGCGGCGGGGCTGCGCGGGCGGCAGAGGCGCCGGGGCGCCCCGCAGGCTGCACGTCCTCAGCTCCCGGGCCAGGCTGAGCACCTCCGGCCTCTCGCGCTGCAGGGCTCCTCCCTCGCTGTCCCGGGAGTCCTCCTCCTCCGCATCCTCCTCCTCGTCCTCCTCCTGGATGCTGCTGAGCCGCGGAGCCCCGCGGCCGCGCTCGCCGGGTGGAGGCCGGTAGGCGCACTTGGCGTTGAGCAGGCGGCGCAGTGGGGCGCGGGGTACCGAGGCGGCAGCGCCCCCCGCGCGGAGGTGCTGCTGGCGCACGTGGCGCGCGTCGCTCTGCCGCTGCAGCCGCTTGAAGTCGCTGAAGGCCGCCAGCGCGGTCTGGCGGAGCAGCCGAGCCAGGGAGCGCGCCTTGTGAGCCCGCGCCAGCAGCACGGCGTGGCAGCGCAGCACCACGGCCTTGTGGCGCGCCTGGTGGCGGTAGACCCAGGCGAAGACGCGCGGGTGGCGCCCGTCCGCCGCGCAGTAGGTGATGCGCGGCAGCAGGTAGGCGTGCGTCGGCCTGCGACCCCCCGAGCCCCCCGTACTGCGCTCGCTCGGCTGCATGCGGATGCCGTGCGGGCCCAGCGTCAGTTTCATCTTCGTGCCCCCTCCCGGCCCGCAGCGCGCCCAGATCCTGCCCACGGCGTCGTCGGTGCAGCCGTCGCCCTTGGCGTGCAGGGTGACGGCGTTGCCCAGGTACCACACGGTGTAGGTGGGGTCCTCCTTGTTAAGCTCCACTTTCTGGCGCCGGCTGCGGAACACGCGGCCCAGACGCTCCAGGGGCCAGTCCGGTAGCAGATCCGGGCAGGAGCGCAGGAAGCTGGAGAGCAGCGACGTGTAGGTGAGCCCGGGGCTCAGGCTCTTCGCCTTGCGCTTGGCCTCGTCCTCCACCAGCACAAATTTGTTCCGTCTCCAGGGCAGCATCGCGGCGGCCCCAAGGGCTGGGAGCGCGGGGAGCTCACTCGCGTCCTGGGGAGGCCAAAGGAGCTCAGAAGTCCACCGCCCAGGACTCGCGACAAGCTGGGTGGAGGCCGGAGACAATCGTTGCGTGATGTCCCGTGTCCGGCAGGGCTGGCTTCGTAGATGCCCGGTGCCCAGCCAGGCTGGCCGCCGAGATGCTCGTGCGGCGGCTGATTGGCCCGAAACAGCTTCCCCCAGGAATGACTCCAGCCGTCTGGGAAGCAAGAAGAGACAGGGGTCTGGAGCAATGGATGTCCCCCAGGTCCGAATATGGAGGTGGGGGGATTGCCACGGTCCCTACCGCCCATCGGGAGGCGGCAGGGACGTCTCTGGAGCAGGGGCTGGTGGTGGATGAGGTAGACCTAGAGCACGGCTGCGGTGGGAACTCCTTCAGGCGTCGCGGCTCCACCTCCCTGGGCTGCCTACATCACCGGGCGGGACCGCTAGCTCTCTTGTCCCCTCCCTTTCTTCCCCCTCCCCCCCAACGCACGCAGACTCGAGCTTCCCAAGACCCAGCACCGGCGGGCTGGAACTGTTTTAAGCTTTATCTTTGGAAGGATGGAAAGTAGAGGGGTGGCTACGGAGTGGGAATCCCCCAAAACATTGCGGAGGGAATTACGGATGCAAATTTCACCAGCCTCACTGGTGGGCTCCGGGCTCCCAGGGAGAGCCCCTCCTCTTTCTAGGATTCCTGCCTGCTGCCCCTCACCCACCGAGCGACCCTACTACTCCCATCTCCGAGAGCGGAGATTTGGGGTGGGTTCCGCTGGGGCCGGCCTGGCGCCCTTTGCCTCTTCTCTGCACAGCACAAAGCCTGCTGAGGTGGCCGCGCAGTGCAGTGGAAAAGTACTGTCGTTTGGTGAAGCTTTCTCCCAGGTTCCTCCAAGGTCGTGGGCCAGGCCGCTTCCCCTGAGCCGAGGGACTGGTCATACCGCAACACCGGCGGCTAGTGGTCAGGACAGAAGCGAGGAGAGGATTTTTAGTGGTGGGGAGGGGTTTCCAGGGCCGATCTGAGTCTGTGGGAGCTGCAGCAGAAAAGCTCTTCCCTTGGTCAAAGTGCAGCCTCCTCGGGCTCTCTGAAGATTAGACAGATAATGAATGCCCTATCTGCAGAGATGCCTTCTGAGGTCCCAGGTGTTCAGCAATCACTATCTCTTAAATCCTCCAGACAGGCAGTCCAGGGTCACAAGGCTGGAAGGAGATGGGTCCCTTCAGTGACCCCAGAGCTGGCCCTTCCCTACAACCTTTGTCCCTCTGCTGCAAAGGGTCTAGGCACTCAGCTCCGTCCCCTGGGGAGTGACTGGTTCTTACTGGGGAGGTGGTCTAGAGTACTGGAAAACAGCCCTACTCGGCAAGACAGGTATTGCCTTTTTCTGAGTTTGTTAAGTTCTTCAGGTTCCCAGAGTTCCTGGAGGGCTCTTATGTGGGTCCAAGAGCCTTTCAGCTTCCTACCGTCAACACAGTTCTTTCATTGGGTCCTGGGGACTGGTCACATGAAGGTACCCTCCAGATCTCAAAGGAGCTCCGGCTGAGTTCAAAACCAAGCCAAACTCGGTGGAATGTACGTAGGCACAGTGACAAGACTGTGAATCCCCGTGTGTGTGTGTGTGTGTGTGTGTGTGTGTGTGTGTGTGTGTGTGTGTGTGTGTGTGCGCGCGCGCGCGCGCGCGCGCTGAATGATCAGGGCGTGGTGGCGCACGCCTGTAATCCCAGCACTGGGGAGGCAGAGGCAGGCTGATCTCTGTGAGTTGGAGGCCAGCCTGGTCTACAGAGTGAGCTCCTACCTCAGAGAGGGTGGTTGGGGAGAGGGAGGAAGAAGAAAAGAAAAGAAAAAAGAACGCCCCAGTTATCCTTGCCTTTTGCCTGGCAGCTCCTCCTACCAGAGAATTTAAGACAGGCTGCACCTGGATAGCCCCCATTCCATTCCCAGTCTGGTTCACCTTTCTGCATGCTGGGGGTGTGGCTTCTGTTCCCACCACCTTTAAAACATATTCTAGGATGTGCCCATCTGGAACCATATGAAAACACAGCAAATGCAATACTGAAAAAAAATTTTTTAAAAGATTTTAAGTATGTGGGTATGTGTCTTGGATGCAGTGCTCTTGGAGGCCTGAAGAGGACCTCAGATTCCCATGGAAGCTTGAGTTACAGGTGATTCTAAGTGACCCAAGGTCAGAGCTGGGAACTAAGTCCGGGTCTTCTGCAAGAGCAGTATGTGCTCTTAACCACTGAGCTGTCTTTCCACCCCCCAAGTAACATTTGACATTGGCAATTATTCTATTAATACTTGCTAATCCTGTGCACATGGATAGCAACTCATCCAGCCTCCTGGGTCTCCCTACTCCATCCCTGTCCTCCCAGGCACTTCTTTAGACTCCTTACAATGCCTGGATTCTCCCCACTCAGTTCCCTGTCTCCCCAGGCTCCTCCTTAGACCCTTAGAGGGAGGTCTTCTCCCTCTAAGCTCATGGTTTTGGAAGAGTCAGCTGCCTCAGACACAGCCTCACGTCCATTCACATACAAGGAAAGGCCATTAATGAAAGCAGAGCTTGGGGCTTCCAGAAGCTTCTGTTTCAGGGAAGAGCTCCCAGGGCTAGTCACCACTGCTTCATAGACAGGTGTGCAGTCAGCCCTGTCCCAGCTTAGTTTTTATTCCTTATGTGTGTGTATTTGTGTATTCCTATATTTCTTTTAAAAGTCAAATTGTTGGCATATAGGTGGCATAATAATAATAATAATAATAATAATAATAATAATAATAATAATAAAAATCTCTTAACCTACCCTTAGTCACAACTCCAAAGACAGCCATTTTCACACATTTCACTTGTCATTTTATATGCATATCCATATTTCTTGCGTGTACACACACACACACACACACACACACACACACACACGGGAGGGAGAAGCCAGAGGGAGACATTAGGTGTCCTGCTTTATCACCTTCCACCTTATTTCTTTGAGGTAGGGACTCTCATTGAACCTGGAGCTGGGCAGGCAGCAGAAGCCCCGCGATCCTCTGTCTGTGCCCACCACAGCATGTGGATTTATAGATGCCCACTCAGCCATGCCCAGCTCTTTTTTTTTTTTTTTTTTTTTAACATGGGTTCTGGGATCCGAACTCAGACCCCATGCTCCTGCAGCAAACATCTTTACTCATGAAGCCATCTTGAAGCCCAGCCCCAAGCTTCCTGTCTGTGCTGGCTAGTTTAATGTCAGCTTGACACAGCTGGAGTCATTGGAGAGGAGGGATCCTCAGCTGAGAAAACGCCTCCATGAGATCAGGCTGCAGGCAAGTCTGTAGGGCATTTCTTTCTTTCTTTCTTTTTCTTTGTGGTTGTTAGATTTTTATTTTCCAAGTAATACTGATTAAAACTATGTACACACCTACTTTTAAGTCCACAGTTTAGCACTCTTATTTGTATGGCTTTAAAAGTTATAGCACAAAATCTTTACATTAAGGATTGGGGGGAAAGATTCCATTCAAAACAAAGCCTGATATATTATATACATATTTTCCCTCTGTACTTTATTTTAAATACATTAATTTTAAAATGAGGGCATTTTCGTAGTTAGTGATTGATGGTGAGGGCCCAGCCCATTAGGAAGTGCAATCTCTGGCAGGTGGTCCTGGGTTCTGTAAGAAAGCAGTCTGAGCAAGAGGTGGGGACCAAGCCTCTAAGCAGGATGGGGATCCCCCCTTCCCCATGGTCTCTGTATCAGCTCCTACCTCCAGGTTCCTGCCCTGTGTGAGCTGCTGTCCTGGCTGCCTTCAGATGGGCTATGGATGCAGAAGGGTCAGCCAAACAAACCCTTTCTTTCCCGTCTTGCTTTTGGTTATGATGTTTCATCGTAGCAATAATAACCCAAACCAATACAGGGTCTCACTATATAGTCCTGGCTGACCTGGACATCTCTATGTAGATCAGGCTGGCCTTGAACTCACAGAGATCTACCTGCCGCCTAAAAGCTGGTATTAAAGGCATGTACAGTCATGCCTATCGGCTTCCATTTCTAACTTAGACTCTGCTGTTTTAAGATCATCATTTACCACCTCCCTATTTCTCTTCGTTTGTGTGTGCACGTGTGTGTCCCAGCATAAGTGAGTGTGCAAGTGAGAGGCCAGAGGACAACCTCTTTCAGGAACTTTCCATCTTATTCATTAGTTAATTAGACAGGGTTTCACTGTTTAGACCGGGTTGACTTGGAACTCATAGTGATCCTCCTGCCTCTGTCTCCCAAGTTCTGGGATTAAAGCCATCATGCCTGGCTTGTGTTTATTTTTGAGACAGGGTCTCTGACTGGGCTGGAGCTGACTCTAGGCTGGCTGGACAGTGAGCCTCAGGGGTCCTCTGTCTTCCCTTCCCTTCCCGTCGCTTGGATTATAAGCAATTGTCACAGCACCTGGCTCTTTTGTGTGGGTTCTAGGGATGGAAATGAGGTCTCCAGGGGGTTGCTGTGAAAACATTTTGCAGACTGAGCTATCTCTTCAGCCTTTGTCTTATACTAGTTAGAACATTTTGTTGTGTTGTATGTACTGGTAGCTAGTGTTTAATGGTTATTAGGTAAATGATGTTCAAAGCTGAGTCCCAGTGTGTGCAGTGATGCTTTTTCTCTTGTTGAACAACCTTTTGTGTGTGTGTGTGTGTGTGTGTGTGTGTTTGAGACAGGATTTCTCTGTCCTGGAACTTGCTCTGTAGCCCAGGTTGGCCTCAAACTCACAGAGCTCCACCTGCCTCTGCCTCCTGAGTGCTGGGATTAAAGGTGTGCGCCACTGTCCTTTTTTTTTTTTTTTTTTTTTTTTTTTTTTTGCTGTTTGGCATCCATTGGCATTTTGATAGAGTTTCCATTGAATCTGTAGATTACTCCAGATAGTGTTGACCTCTTGGCAGTACTAAGTCTTCAACTCATAAATACAGGATGTCTTTTTGTTAATTTATATCATTACTTTCTTTCAGCATTTTGTTGTACACACACACACACACACACACACACACACACACACACACATACACAGTGGTGTGTGTGGTGTGGTATGTGTGTATATATTCAAGTCCAGATGTATTTTGAGGCCAGAGGTTAAGTTGGGTGTCTTCCACTCCCCATTTCTACCTTATCTTTTTCCTTTTTTCTTTTTGGTTTTTTGGTTGTGAGCCTAGCCTTTAACGGCTGAGCTATCCCTCCAGCCCTCTACCTTATCTTTTGAGACAGGGTCTTTCACTGAGTCTAGAGCTCACCAGTTGGCTAGTCTGGCTGGTCAGTAAGCTCGGGATCTGCTTGTTTCTTCCCCGCTGAGTTTGAATTGCAGACCACACACCCAGCTGAGCCCTGCATGCTGGGGATTTGAATGCGTGCTGTCCAACAGACACTGTCTAGACTGAGCCATCTCCCCAGCCCCTCTTCAGCAAGATTTTCTCTTTTCCAT